CGCCCGGCGTGAGTTTAAGCCACCAGGTCCAGGTCTCGAACCGCGGTCGACTACATGGGAGTCCAGCGACATAGCCATTACGCTAACTGCTGGTCCCTTTTTTAATTTTTTTTTTTTAGGTTTTTGCTATAGGGTGTGTGTGAGGGAGGGAAAGTGAGAAATCACCCCCAGGGGGTAGCCATGCTGCAATCTCGTCTTTCATTCTCCTCTCAGGATTTCGGGCATGTACACACACATGCTCAGCATGATTTTCAAGCTGCCAGGTCTGAACCCCAGTTGGCCATGTGGGACTCTCGTGCCTTAATCAGCACACTACCTGACTGGCCCCTTATTCTGTTTTTACCTCCACCCAACTCCCAGCTAGACTGTATGCGTGGAGAACTGGGAACATGTCTGCTTTCCTCATTATCAGGTATCTGGTGCTTACCAAGCAGAATGCTAGCATCCAGTAAGTAAAAATCAAATTTAAACTGAGGTAAGAATATGCTATAAGAAAATTGGGCAAGAAAAAAAATTAACAACAGACCTCTATTACTTACAATATATCTTAAGTATTAAAGTTACTTTCATAATACTAGAATTAAAAGCTGAACTCTGAAGTAGAAGACTCACTGAAAGAAGTAGTAATTTCTTTTTTTTTTTTTGGAGAGGTTTTTGCTATACGGCGCGTGCACTTGCCAGAAAGACAGAAAGAGACAGAGAGACAGAAAGCGAAAAATCACCCCCAGGGGGGATGGCCACGCCGCAATCCCTTCTCCTCCATTCTCCTTTCAGGATCTTGGCCACACATGCACACGCACTTGGCGTGAGTTTAAGCCACCGGGCTCAGGACTTGAACCGCATTTGGCTACATGGGAGTCCAGCTAACTGCTAACTGCTGGTCCGGGAAGTAGTAATTTCTTAAAATCTTTTTTTTTGTTTGTCTTTTTTAGATTTTTGCCATAGGGCACTTGCACACACCAGAGAGAAACAGAGGGAAAGTGAGAAATTACTCTTATGAAGAGATAGCCATGCCACAATCCCTTCTCTTCCATCCTCCTTTCTGGATTTTGGATATGCATGTGCATACACCAGAGTGATTTTTCAAGCCACCTGGTCCAGGACTCAAACCATGAAGTCAGCCATGTAGGAGCCAATGCCTTGACCACTACTCTACCTGCTGGCCCAGTAATTTCTTAAAATCTTAAAATTTGGGGACTAGCAGATGACATAATGGTTATGTCACTGGACTCCCAAGTAGACAACTGTGGTTTAAGTCCCAAACCCGGAGGCCTAAACCCACAATGGGCACGTGCACATGCATACCCAAGATCCTGAGAGAAGAATGGAGGAAAAAGTGATTGTGGCATGACCATCCCCTCTAGGGGGCGATTTCTCACTTTCTTTCTCTCTGTCTTTCTGGTGAGTGCTTGCACCCTACAGCAAAAAAACCTCTCCAGAAAAAAAATGTTAAATTTGAAAAAAAAAAACATGGCTTTATGTTGGTGGCAGTGGCAGGCTTTCTGAAAGTCTGGCCAGAATCCAGCACCTAAAACGCCGGCAGGCTTCGCCACCTCTCTGATGCTGGCTTGTTTGATGGGGAGGTAGGAAAGAGGGCATCCTTCCCCGAGTTCTCCCAGACTTCCTGCTGGTGTCGGTGGAAGCCACCCTCTTCTCAGGAATGGCGGTGAGAAACAGGCGACGATGTAGTGTCACACGATTTTTTCGTTTATTTCACCTCTGGGGACCAGCAGATGGCGTAATGCTTACATTGGTGGGCTCCCATGTAGTCGACTGCGCTTTGAGTCCCGGACCTGGTGGCTTGCTTTCTCACTTTCCCTCTATCACTCTCTCTCTCACTCTGTCCCTCTCTGGTCAAATTTTTCAAATTAATTAATTAAAGTTCAATAAAATAATTCTTTTAAAAATGATAAAACCGAAACTAGAATCTTATTCATCAGTACAACCCATAGGAAAAGTATTTAATGGCTGTGTCACTCAGTCTTAAGATTCCAAATTCAAACACTGGACTAGAAGAAGGAACGTGAAATCCCGCCTGATTATCACTATTTCCATCATTTCTCCAGAGGCCCACAGGTGAAAGGACTGTTACGCTAAAAGCCCTTAGAAAGTCAGACAACCCAAGCAGCTGATAACTGGGGTTCCACTCCTAACCTTCTCCTTTGTACACTCAAGATTTTTCTCTGGATGAACTTATCATTGAAAATCACTCAGGTTATCTCCAGTTTTGAATTCGTGAAGTCCCTCCCCACACCTGTCACCTGGGCCTTTGTCTATTCTTACCTCTCTTTCCTGAGTGGGGGCAGAATAAGAAGAGAGCAGAAGATGGGGATGGGCAGTGAATGCGGCCCTGTTTCTGAAAAGGAGACAATTCAAAGACATTTTGTTTTTAAAGATATTTTACTTTATTCAATACTATAAATGACTGAAAAGGCAAAAATTAAGGAAAGTAGTAAACAAAACAAACAGAACACCCAAAAACTTACAACTTAAGCTTCTCAGGAAAAAAGAATGCTATAAATATTCAAACACGTAAAGAGAATGTTTGCGTTTAATGCCCAACCCTGACACACCTAGCCATTCAAACAACTGGCTACCTTAAGCACAGTCCTAGTGCTCTAAAATCGTCTTCCTCAAACAAAGAGACCAACAGGTCTCTTTCCTGGAAAATGTAATTTTTGTAAACTGCCTTGGATCCACAGTAAGTGTCTTTGATAGAGTTTCACCAAAACCAATGAGAAGTTCAAAGGTAAGATTGCAGCAGCAGATCAGGGGAAGGATGTAGAAAACCGCAGTCTCAGAGCTAACCAGCAAGCCGTCCCTCATCTGGTGCACTGGAAATCAAGCGCAGGCCCCATGGCCTGGAAGACAGGACCGGTTGGAGGTCTGCTGCAAGACCACGGAGCTGGGTCCTAGCTCACCTGCAGGGGTCTTAGCTGGAGCTCGCGCTCCAGCTGCTCTGCAGTCAGGGTGCCCTCGATAGCTTCACAGCCCGGGTTGAACACGGAGTAGGCACTCTTCTCTCCCTCCTTCTTCTCTCCAGGGCCTCGTGTGCCCACATACATCCAGTAGAACAAGGACAGGACAAAATAGGCCAGGCCGAATTCCAGTTCCACAAACAGACCCAGCAGGACCAACCAGAGAAGAACCTTCAAGAAGGTGACATTGGTCAGGAAAGACTGGTCCCAGCGTGATGGTGGAGGGATGGCTATGTTGTGTGGTGGCTGTGATGTGCTGCTCCCAGGTGGAGTCACTTCCTAACGGAAACAAGCAAACAAAAGCAAGACAAAGGGTAATGGATCAGAGGATCAAAAGGAATTGGAGAAGGCAGTTCACACAGCCCTAGAAGGCTACCGGCTCATTGATTTCTATTTTCTCGCCCTACTCTCTAATGCAATCATCTCCAAAGAGCTTATGTGTCCTGCTCCAATGGAATCAAAACTCATCAGCACTTAGTGAGATGTGACCCCATAAAAACCTTACAGTGTTCAGATGGGTTCCCGTTCATGGTAGTTACTTCTCCAGATTAGTCTGCAGCTAACAAGAGCTACTTTGTGCCCCGTGGAGTAACTCCTCAGTAATTGATAATGCCAACAGCCATGTGGGCTTTGAGTCAACATACGTTTGTTGATTTGATTAGATGAGCTAAAATATTATGAGTGACACGATTCTAAAATGGAGTCCGGAAACAAGAAACAAAAATCCCTTTTACATATTAAAAAAAAAGTATCAGTTAGAGGGACCAGCAGTTAGCGTAATGGCTATGTCACTGGACTCCCACGTAGTCGACCGCGGTTCGAGTCCTGGTCCTCGTGGCTTAAACTCACGCCGGGCGCGTGTGCGTGTGTGCCCAAGATCCCGAGAGGAGAATGGAGGAGAAGGGATTGTGGCGTGGCCATCCCCCCTGGGGGGTGATTTTTTGCTTTCTATCTCTCTGTCTCTCTCTGTCTGTCTGGTGAGCGTACGCACCCTATAGCAAAAGCGTCTCAAAAAAAAAAAAAGTATCAGGGCCAACAGCTGGCATGGAGGTTAAGATGCTGGATCTGACATGGCCAGCTGCATGGTTCAAGTCCCTGACCCAGCAGCTTGAAAATCATGCCAGGCATGTGTGTGTGCATGCCCAATATCTCAAGGGGAGACTGAAGGAGAGGGGATTGCTGTGTAGCCACCTCTTCTGGGGGTGATTTCTCATGTTCCCTCTTTCTGTCTCTCTCTGGCAAGCCCAAAAGCCCTATAGCAAAAAGTAGAAAAAAAAATCACCATTATAGCCATTACTAGGGCTTCTTACCTTCCTGTCCCCTGCACCCATCCTACACAGGTCCCCGTCACTTGCCCCAAGGCCCACGCAGTGTCTCTCCTCTAGACTCCCAGCTCCCATCTCCTCCCTCCCCAATTATCCTATGTACATCTGTTAAATGAATTTCCTAAATACCCATCACCCTTCTGCCCACAGACCTTCAACCGGTTTTCACTGCCTAGCTGTTAAAACCCAAACGCCATGGGCTGGGGTCCACGGCCTTCCATTTACTCAGCACACAGAAATGCCAGTACACCAGGCCCCGTGCTGGTGCACAGGAGACACGGGCATTTAGGCAGTTGTAGGAAGCTTCATCCCCACTCTGCTGCTGTCCATATTTGAGCAAGACCCACAGTAAGAAATACATTTATCCTGAGACCTAGCATATACAAATGCAACGGAGACAAGTTTCACAAATCAATACCTACCCTCCCTGGGGTACTCCCTCATAGTGCCCTTTCTTTTCTTCCTTCTTTTTTCTCCTTCCTTCCTTCCTCCTTTCTTTCCTTCCCCCCTCCCCTTTCTCTTTTTTTTTTCTTGAGAGGTTTTTGCTATAGGACATGTGCATTCACCAGAAAGATAGAGACAGAAATAGAAAGCAAGAAATCACCCTCCAGGGGGATGGTCACGCCGCAATCCCTTCTCCTCCATTCTCCTCTCAGGATCTTGGGCACGCACGCACACGCGCCTGGCATGGGTTTAAGTCACTGTTCGAGACTCCAACTGTGGTTGACTATATGAGTCCAGCGACATAGCCATTATGCCATCTGCTGATCCCCCATTTTTCTTTCTTTCTAATGGGGGAACCCCGCCATTGGGGGGTGGGCAGAAGAGCACTGATAAACATACTGGAGCCGTATGGAAAGGCTCGAGTTCAGATCCTGGGAACTGACCCGAACATGCCAGAGAGGCCCACAGGTGCGACTGTAAAGCTGGGGGATAGGATTGAGGCACGGTGAGACCTTGTCAGGCAAGTCCCCCTCATCTCTCACGAAAGAAAGAGTGAGAGAAAGGAAAATTTTAAACCATAAAAGTGTGAAAGTTTTTAAGGAGGATAAAATACTCCACATTTTAAAATTTTATTCATGAAAGCAAACGTGCGAGAGGAAGAGAGACAGGCACCCCAGCAGGGTCTTGTCATGCTGCAATTCCCTCCTCCTAGCCCTCCAGCTCCTCAGGATCTTTGTGTTTTTAGGTCAATTCAGGATCCAAACTCAGTCAGCCTGTGGCTTGCAGTACTATTGCCTGTGCTACTGAGGCTGGGCCGGGATCCTTTATGTTGCTTTTTCCAACCACTAATAGGTACAAGGCAAGACCTGATGTTCGAAAACCAGTGGTCTAGGGACAAGCAGTTGACATAATAGCTATGTCACTGGACTCCCATGTAGCTGACCACAGTTCGAGTCCCGGACCGGGTGGCTTAAACTAATGCTGGGCGTGTGTGCGTGCGTGCCCAAGATCCCGAGAGGAGAATGGAGGAGAAGGGATTGCAGCGTGGCCATTCCCCCAAGGGGAGGTTTCTCACTTTCTATCTCTCTGTCTCTGTCTTTCTGGTGAGTGCATGTGCCCTATAGCAAAAACCTCTCAAAAAACAAACAAACAAACAAACAAAAAAACAGTGGTCTAAAAAAAAAAATTAATGACACAATCCACAATCTGGTGCTCCATAAATGATCTTTCTACTCCAGCTCAACCGGTCCTATTCCCCATCTGCTATGTATTTTCAATACATAGCAGAACTTTAGTTCACTTTTTTCTTTTTTAGTTACTTCCTCTACTCTTCTTCTCAGGAAACTTCAAAGGAGGACCACAGTGTCCTGAATAAAAAAAAAAAAAAAAAAAAAAAGAAGACACCCAAGTTATGATGTTCTAAAATTCCATCTTGTTAGGAGACTCTTGGCACCAGCACTGTAATTACCATCATTCAGTTATGTTGGAAAGTCTGATTGGGAAGCCTCCTCCACCCTTGACACTCCTTAAATAAGCACTGTCCCCTTCTGAGGGACAGTAGGGTGGTATGGTGGTGATTAAGGTGGCTGGATCCCACGTAGCCAATGGTACAGTTTGAGTCCTGGACCTGGCAGCTTGAAAAACACACCAAAGTGTGTGTGTGTATGTGTGTGTGCCCAAAACACCAGAAGGAGAAGGGGGGAGAAGGGACTGCAGCATGGCCAAGAGCCCTTTGGGGTGTGCATGATGCTTCTTGTCCAAGAGGAGAGACGCACCAGGGTAGCAAAGTCTGGTTGTCCTAGAACAGGACGGCGTGACTGCAGTGTGCTAGGCAAGGGCAGTAGTAGGAGATAATGGGGGAGGGGGGCAGGAGCCATACCACAGGGCCAGGGAGACCACGGGAAAGTGCTGGGGATGGGACAGCACGGAAGATCTCAGCAGGATGGGACTGACACGACCCATTTATATTCAAGAATGCTCTGGACACCATGCAGAGAACGTGCAAGGGAGGAAGGGTGCACATGGGGAACAGTGAGAGAGGACCAAGTGACTGGGTGACAGGAGTCAGGAAGAAAGGACAGGCACAGAATCTATTTCGAATGTGTATGAATTGAAATTCACAACAAACCAAATTTATTTTCTAATTTGGAGAGTACAAAAAACACAACACTTGGGGCCAGCAGATGGCATAGTGGTTACGTCGCTGGACTCTCACCTGGCTGACTATGGTTTGAATCCTGAACCCGGTGGCTTGAAAATCATGCCAGGTGTATGTGCATGCGTGCCCAAGATCCCAGGAGAAGAATGGAGGAGAAGGGACTGCAGCACTGCCATCCCCCTGAGGGGAGATGTCTCACTTTTCCTCTCATTGTATCTCTTTCTGGCAAGCACATGTACCCTATGGGAAAAAACCCTTCTTTAAAAAATAAGAATGTTCATTTGCTGCCATTTACTGTGTACCTTCAAAATGTTTCATCTCCTGTAACCCAGGAGGCAAACAGCATTCTCCCTAATTCACTAATAAGGAAAACAGTGAGAGGTTAAGTAATGTCCTTAAAGTCATGCAGCCAGTGATAGGCAGAGCAGAGGTCAGTCTAGGATCCTAGGAGGGCCTCTCCCCAAAGCCTGTTTTATTTGATGAGGAGCCTTTATGGAGGGCGGTAGGAGGACGGGTTACAGAGCTGCAGGGAGAAAGGGGTGGTGGTGGTTAAAACAAAACCAAACCCGGCAAAGGAAACAAATGGTGGTGTGGGGGTATGGAAACGCCTTTGCCTCCCTGGGAGCTTGTTCTAGTACTGGCTTGCCATCTGCTGTACAAGCTGTGTGTACGCGAGTTCGTGCTCTTTACATCACACAGAGGCCCAGTCCAGGGAAGGCACTTCAATTCCCAAATACCAGGCTGCTTCCCACTTCAGGCCCTTTGTGCGTGTGGCTCCTTCTGGGAAGACAGCTCCTTCCCCTCACATCACCTGCTGGCTTCCTCTTCGACAGACCTCTGCAAAAACGTCACCACCTTGGCCTTACCCCCAGATTTCTGCAAGGGTGAGTGCTTGCTAAACATCACCTCCTCAGTGAGGTGCTCCCTGCTCACACAATTTAAAACAGCATTCTGATACCCTCACTCCCAACTCACTATCACAGTCAGCTGTTTTTGTTTGTTTTTTTTCATAGAACCTATCACCTTGTTTTGTCTGTCCTCCTTCCCTGCTGCCTCAAGCTCAAATGCAAGTTCTGTGGCAGGAGGAGTTTCATCTGTCTCCACCAGGATTTAGGACACAAGCCAAGACAGTGGGCACATGGTGGAATGTTGCTGAATGAGTGAATGATGGTGAGGGAAGGAAAGAAATGAAAGATGACTGATAGATTTGTGGGGGGCAATGCAAGGCTGTGCTTAGCCAGGTGACCCCAAAGGTGAAGAGCATTTGAGCAGTGGACAGGTTGGAGCCAGTGGACAGGTTTGGAGGGGAGGTGGCACACATGAGTGGGGAATGGACCCTGGACTGGGGGCTTGTGCAGTTGTTGGCTAGACAGGGAAGCAGGAGAATTCTGTAGGATTAAAAGAAGTTACAAGTATTTTTGTCTCAGTGTACTAAAAACTCAGAAATATGTGTTTTATTTTTATTTTGGGGACCTGCGTTTCCAGAAGCAAAATTTGGGGGTGAGGGCGGGAGGATGCTTCCTTATCAATGACTACCGAAAAGAAGTAATTACTAATAGAAAGCAAGACTAAAGAACTGACAGGCCACAGTGCACCATCAAAACTTTTAGGCAGAGATGGACTGTAAATTAGAAAAAAAAAAAATTAATGAGAATTTTCACACCAGAGTGAACCCAGGAATGATAAGAGTCCATGAAAATGAGCTTAAGGCAGAATCCCTTGTGAAAAACAGCAATTAGTAAAACCTGAAGGTCCAGCATTTTCCTCATCCCTTTGTCAGGCCATCAGCTTTTGGGTTTTTAATAAAGGAAGCTTTCTCCAAGTTCAGCTTCTCTGGGTCCAAAGATCTCATATTTCTTTGTAAATGAGACATACGGTCAAAAGCTCATTATGTGGGTTAGACATTGTTTTTAAATACAGGGGAAAAGGGGGGTAGGAGAAATGGATTCTAAATCTCGAGCAAGTGTTTTGCTCAGTGAATTCTAATCAACAATAAAGTTATCTAAACACAACTGAGACAGACTGCACACAGCAAATGAACTGTTGTTGGAACCCGTTGCACTCCCTACCTGTTTATGCACGTCAGTTGGAACTCTATTATAAAAAATAGTATCAAGTCAAAGTTGAGTAACAATAAGCTCTCCATGATTTGGAGGAAATAAAAGTCCCTCAAACCCAGGTGTTGTGCAGTATTAGATGAACTTAAGGGAAATATTTTAGGGGGAGCAGGGTATACTTCCACTCCAGTGTATTTTAATTATTTTAAAAGAATTATTTAATTTTATTATTATTTTAAAACTTGCTATAGGGCACTTGAGCTCACCAGAGAGCGAGAAGGAAAGTGAGAAAGCAAGCCACCAAGGATTCGAACTGCAGTCAGCCATGTGGGAGTCCAGAACCTTAACCACTAAACCACCTGCTGATACCGTATTTTAATTTTTAAAAGGGATTTAGTTCTGATGAGACTTAGGAGGAGGAAGACCTTGTCACAGTTTGTTGCAAAACACCTATTATCCCTTGATTCTGTCCTCTCTTCCCACAGACTGCTCCAATCTCACATGCAAATCACCTTGCCATTTTACTCATCAGTGAAAACTAAATGAAGATGCAAATTAAATTCATCTGCAAAATAAGAGATTAACAAAATAATTAGAGATAAAAATGCTATCATAGTAATCTAAATTTTTTTTTGCCTCGAATATTCATTATTGAACTTGAATAAGCTTCTCTAGTCCAATAGCGAAGCACAAGCATACGTCACCACTGGCCATTAGTGCTACCAGACGTTTGCAATTTTGTATTCAAACTCCATTTCTAACGCACAGGCTGTCTGGGCTAGTGGCTCCATGTGCCCCAGGTGCGAATCAATGAGGCTTTAATTACTGCCATTTTTGATCATTATCCAATTAGACCTTTTACCCTCCATTAACAGAGGGCTGTGGCTCAACTTGGTTGTAGAGAGGGTTCCCAAAGCCACAGGACATCACAACGATAAATCAACTCGCAGGGGGGCATTCTTCCAGAACCCTAGGCCTGCTTGGAATCAAGACCTGCGTGGGTCTTGGGCTAGAAAGAGGTCAAAGCCACGTATCGGTACCGACACGTGCGCCCGGAGTCTCGAGGTTCAATCCCGGAGCAGGAGAGGTGCTAGCTGCCCGGCCCGCACCGCTAAGGCAGCTTCCGAACGCGCGGGGGCGTGGCCTGCTCCCATCGCGTCACGTGGCACACGGTGCCTCTCCGCGAGCGGGGCGGAGCCTGCGGGGCCCCGGTGCTGGGCGGGGCCCTGCGGACGAAGGCGTGGTCTCGGCCGGAGTGTCCACCGAGGCCAGGACAGGGGCTCTGAGGCCAAGCTCTGGGATGAGGCAAGGCCTCCCTCCTCTCACCTGAGCGAGGCTGGGCTGGGCCCGGGCACTCGCGGGCCTCGGTGTCCACCCCAGGAACCGTTTTAGCCAGCCAGGGGCAGCCTTTGGAGTCGCAGCTGCTTCCGCCTCCTCTCCCGGGCTTTGTGCGCTCTGACTCGAAGCACTGGG